ACTATGTGTAATTCACTCAATGCTGATTGTTTTAGCATTGTTTCGGAGAAGGATCATGATCTCACAGTACCCCAGGAAGTTTAGGCACTCACCTTTATTTTTCAGATAGTGATGGTGAAATGAGGAAATCAAAAAGGGTACTTACCACAGGACCCTCCCACGCTGCTTCCCCGAGGCATTCCTGGCCCATGGACGAATTCCTGGCCACACAACACGGCCTGCGGAGCATACGCATTCCAGACAAGATGGCGCCGGGATCCGAGAGCATGGCAAGTTCCGCACAAGGCCTAGCCGGAGGAGGTCCACTTACACACTTCTCGGCTGTGGGCGTACCAAATTGGATACTGGAGGGCCCACCGCCCATATTTAACAGCCCGGAGAGACTGACTGGACGCTGACCTGGACCACTTCAGACCGACATTGGTCGCAGAAGTGAGAAGTCAATGGCAGCCGGACATGTCTGTTGGCTATGAGGTGGAGGTTACCGAATGGCCCTGAAGAATAAAAGCTCTTGTTGGTACACAGACCACCGGTAACCACCACCTCATAGCCAACAGACATGTCCGGCTGCCATTGGCTTCCCACTTGCCAGAGACGCTAACAGGGCTCCACAGCAGTTGCTTCAGGACTGAGAGCCTCCACTACCCGAGATTGGCTGTACTTTTAAGGGAGCAAAGGGTAAGACTTGAGCCTATATTTTTGCCTAGATTCCGAGGACACCTATAAGCTGGTCCTCGTGCTTTCCTCAGCCACCCCCTTTGGGTGGGTTTCCAATTTGGACTTTTCCGCTGAATGGTTTTCTCGGACTCGTGGGGATGGCCTACTCTCCCAGTCCACACCTGGGTTGGCGTATACCGCTGTGACGGAGCTCCCTTTACCCCAGCTGGGTACCTCAGCCAAGTCCGGTTCCTAGCCGCTTGCAGGGACCCTGGAACGCTCCTGCCCCAGTCGCCGCAGCTTAACTGGGGAGCTTTTGCACCTGACCAGGCAGCAGCTTTCCTTACAGGCAGGTATCGTCCCCTCTGCCTATTCCACAGCAGCTCTGCTTACAGTGATTATAGTTATTGCCTTTACAAAGGCAACTACGGCTCTCGGGCCCAGCTCTTTTGATGTATCCCAGGGGTGTAATTTGAACTTAGAAACCTTTGACATCGGTCGCCTTCCCACGAGGTGCTGCTCGCTTGCTTGGCATCTAAACGCTGTGTCACAGAGAGCTTTTGCAGCCTAATCTAGAGGAATGAGGGACTACTTGACTATGCAAGTTCTGGGGCAACGGCTCTGATGACATCAGTGCGGAACAACAATTCGAATTTACTAGCAGACACTTACACCATTAATATACAGGGTTTAAACATCACGGAGAAACGCTCCCAACTGCTCCGAACCTTGCACTTTCGTGGTCTGTATGCCCCCTTCACTTTTTTGCAAACCATGCAGAAGCTAAATGGGTGGGAGTAGCCATCCTATTCGCCAACACAGTACCTTTTGTCTGCAACGACACGCTAGGAGACCCAGAGGGAAGATACCTTTTTCTTAAGGAGACCATAGCTGACCATAGGTATACTTTTGGCATGCATCTACAGCTCCAATCAGAACCAACACATCTTCCTGGCACAAACACTAAGTAAAAAAATTCAGAGATGGGCTCTTTCTGGTTGCAGGTGACATTAACCTGCCCATGGTACCATAATAAGATTCCTCTAGGGAAGTAAGCTCTCTCCCCCAACGACACATTCACTTGGCCGGGCAATCTCTGAAGTAACTGGGACTGGTTGATTGCTAGAGGGTGGTGCATCCCGAGGATCGGGACTTTACGTTCTACTCAGCAGTACACAAACATTATAGCCCCATTGACTTCTTCTTTCTGGCACAGTAATTCCTGCCCCTACTCATTCACTCAGATATAGGGACCATGGTAGGCTCTGACCACTCACCAGTATCATTTACATTGCGCTCCCCCTTATATATGCCAAGGGAGCGTCAATGGAAGTTGAATGAAAATCTGCTGACAGACATAGGGGAACTATAACCAGCGAGAGAAGAACTGACCCAGTACTTTGAGACTAATGACTCCCCTGACATTTCACCATTGACAGTCTGGGAGGACTTCTTTTCACAGACGCGGAAAAAGCTTTCGACCGAGTAGACTGGCTTTACCTAGCAGCCACGTTGCAGCGAATGGGAATCGGACCACACATGCACACCTGGGTGCAGTCACTATACACGACTCCTACTGCTCGTATCCGCATCAATGGTGCACTAACCGCCCCATTTCCAATTCGGAACTGCACGTGTAAGGGCTGTCCCCCCTCCTGTTTGCCCTCTCCTAGAGCCCTTTCTGGAGGTGGACAGACAGGTCGGAGGGAACATGCCGTAGCGGCATATGCAGACGATGTGCTGTTCTTCCTAGAGCAACCCAGGGTCTCCCTACCTAATCTGCTGGACTCTTTTAGGTGGTTTGGTCAACTTTCCAATCTGAAACTGAATATGGATAAGTCAGAGGAGCTCTATGACTCAGATTCCACCCCACACCAGATTCCACCCCACACCTTCATTTGCGAGGATAAACTGCGATACCTGGGCATGTGGCTAACACGGGACCTTACCCAGTTGTACCAGCTTAACTACCTCCCATTGCTAACCAAGCTACAAAAGGACATGCACCGGTGGACCCCTCAATACATCTTGTGGTTCGGCCGCATCAATGCGGTCAAGATGAATGTCTTACCACACATTTTGTACCTATTCCAGACCATTCTGATCACTATCCCTAGGACATTCTGTAGTTTCCTAACAACGGCGATATGAAAGTTTGTATGGAATCATCGCCCTACCAGACAACAAAGGGTCCTCCTACATTTGCCCAAACAGGCCGGGGGCACAGATCGCTCATCAATAGTGATATATTACCACGCTGCCCATCTACACAGATTTCTAGACTGGCACACTCACCCTTTGAAGAAGCAGTGGGTGGATATGAAGATTCAACAAGCCGAAGGCAAGATCCTGTCCACACTATGGCTGGATAACCAGACATTGAGTGCCCTGCGCACAAATAACCCCATGATAGATGCCACACTTGGTATCTGGTGCACACTCCGCTTCCAACGACAACTGACGACGTCACCCAACCCACTTACCCCTATTACGAATAACCCAGACCTTGCCGGTGGACTGAGCGCTAGGAAACTGGCTAGTCTCCAGACTACAGACTGGACATACATGAACCAATGGTGCACCTCTACACAGCTTAAGACCATCACTGCATTAATACAGGACAGACAATCAACTCCACTAGAGCAGTTCCGCTTCCACCAAGTAAAAACGTACTAGGGGTCCTTGCCGGGCCGAGGACAGATACACAGACTCCTGACACAATATGAGTTACTATGCACCATGAGGGAACATGTCTCAAGGGGCATTTCTACCATGTTCTCGCTGCTCCTGTCAAATAGAGGTGACATTTCACTTGGGTACACAAGCAAGTGGGAGAGAGAAACGGGAGTCACTCTCTCAGACCAAGAATGGGACAAAATCTTTACCCTCACACACAAATGCTCAATAAGCTCTAAGTTCCAAGAGTTAAGCTACAAACTGCTAACATTCTGGTACCAGACGCCAGACATCCTGCACCGAATGCACGCAGGTAACCCACGGGAATGCTGGCATTGTGGGCGGGGAGAGGGGACCGGACTCCACATATGGTGGTCCTGTCCTGCAATCGTTCCCTTTTGGAAGACTATACATGCTGAAATACAGGAAATCTATGACACCACCTTAGCATTCCAACCACTGACCATGCTACTACACCACACCACAATACCACTGTGGGGATGCTCAGAAAAATGTGTTCAAACCTGGGCCCCCTGGCTCACCTACATCTCGAGGGCTCGTGCGGGTACATGAGTTCGATCGGGTTCTCTCATTACCAGATCAGGACACTTAGTGTAATAATTATGTTGGACAGGGTGGGAGGGTGGAGAGGAGCGAACTTGAATATGGGGTGAGAGGGAGGAGGCTTTTTTGTTTTCTTTCTTCTTTTCTTTCGCTCTTCTCTCTTACTCCCCCCCCCTCGCTCTCTCGTTATACCTCCTCTACTCTCTTCTCTTTTCCTTCCTGCAGAGCTATTCCTAACACCTTTACAACGCTACTGACAGGACACACAATACAGACCTTATGACCGATGAGATAAGATAATTTCTAAATGACCAAACATGACGCTATGAGCACAGCCAAAATAATGGACTGATGACTCATTCACCTTCCAAAGCTCCAAATTGCGACTAGAATAGTTGGACCTAACACGTCCAAAGCTCCCAAGCACTCCAGAGGACAACCGCAGCTAGTATCGCACTCATGACACATACTAGACTCACGAAAGCATGAACACTGCAAAACAAAACTACAAAATAAAATAAAGATTGTTCCAAAAAAAACTAACGATGGGTGGGCAGCAGGCCACTGCTGGCTCCATAACCTCTACTTGCTATAACCATACCTGCAGCGCAGTGGTTATGGTGTTTGCATTCTTCCGTTCATTTAAGCTGACATCAGGGCAAAAAGTCCTTACATTTATGATCTGTGACTCAAGCAATGGGGAAATGAATGTAGACCTGGACGTACCCTCTACCCTCTCTATTTTTCCAGAGCTGATCTGCTTTACTGCCAGATCTTCATCCAGCGGAAGGATACAATTTAGTGCCATGTCTCCATCCAGTTCCTCTGTGTTTCTGCAGATGGACTGAAAAATGCAACTTCCATTCTACAACCAGGCTGTACAAAAAAACAGAATACAGCATTGCACTCTTCACCGGCTCCATTGCTGTATAGCGGTGATTGGTCGCATTCTTCATCGGCTCCATCCCTGTATAGCGGTGATTGGTCGCATTCTTCATCGGCTCCATCCCTGTATAGCAGTGATTGGTCGCATTCTTCATCGGCTCCATCCCTGTATTGCAACGATTGGCCGCACACTTTAGCAGGTACATCCCTGTATAGCGCTAATTGGTCACATTCTTCACCGGGTACATCCCTGTATAGCGGTGATTGGTCGCATTCTTTACCGGCTCCATCCCTGTATTGCGGTGATTGGTCTCACTCTTTCCTGGCTCCATCCCTGTATATTGGGAATTGGTCGCACTCTTTACCGGCTCCATCCCTGTATAGCGGTGATTGGCCACACTCTTTACCAGCTCCATCCCTGTATAGCGGTGATTGGGCGCACTCTTTACCGGCTCCATCCCTGTATAGCGGTAATTGGTCGCACTCCTTACCGGTTCCTTCCCTGTATAGCGATGATTGGCCGCACTCTTTACCGGCTTCATCTCTGTATAGCGGTGATTGGCCGCTCTCTTTACCGGCTTCATCCCTGTATAGCGGTGATTGGCAGCACTCTTTACCAGCTCCATCCCTTTATAACGGTGAATGGACGCACTCTATACCGGCTCCATCCCTGTATAGCGGTGATTGGCAGCACTCTTTACCAGCTCCATCCCTGTATAACGGTGAATGGACGCACTCTTTACCAGCCCCTTCCCTGTATAGCGATGATATGCCGCACTCTTTACCGGCTTCATCTCTGTATAGCGGTGATTGGCCGCTCTCTTTACCAGCTTCATCCCTGTATAGCGGTGATTGGCAGCACTCTTTACCGGCTCCATCCCTGTATAACGGTGAATGGTCGCACTCTTTACCGACTCCATCCCTGTATAGCGGTGATTGGCCTCACTCTTTACCGGCTCCATCCCTGTATAGCGGTGATTGGACACACTCTATGCCGGCTCCATCCCTGTATAGTGGTAATTGGCCGTACTCTTTACCGGCTCCTTCCCTGTATAGCGGTGATTGGGCACACTCTGTAACGTCACCCCAGGCATAAAAGGGTTAAACCGCCGTTTAGTAGATGTTCCCTTCCAGAGACACAGGCACAGCTACTGCAGAACACCAAACTCCCAAACGGGATACAGGTTCTGCTCCAAACTCCCGAATTGGAACCATACGAATAGCTGCTAGCAGACGAACAGGAAAAGCACCCAAGCGGCTTACACTCCTGGCAATCAGTCTATAACAGCATACAGTAAATCTCCCAAAAACGAGACAAGGCTCCGTGTTGAGGGTCAAGCAGTGGTCTGATTTATTCAGGACTACCTGCCCAGTATTTATGCAGGTCTCCCACCTGGTAGACTGTGGCGGAACCAACCTCACCACTGTGCACTGGAGAAGCCTGGTTGCTCGCCTGCTCCCTATAGATTATGGCCCAGCAGTTCAGAGCTGTTATTTTCCCTGCTGAAAGGTTTATTCGTGCCTTTCTGCCAGGGTGTTCGGTAGATTACATCTACCGAACAAACTACCGAACGATGGACCACCTGGGAGCTGGAGTGTGCTGTTAATTGACCGCCCAGAAGCTGCGGTTAACCGCAGCTTAATTGATGAACGCTAGGTGGCCTTTGTTCGTCTGCCGAACACGTGGCAGTGGCCATTTTACCTCCCAAACGGCCAGCGGTGTTCAGCTCCCAAACTATGGAACTGAAAACGGACACTTATTGGCGCGAACACCACTGAGCCGCCAGCCTCCTTACCTTCCCATTCGGTAAGCAGAACCGAATGACTGTTCATTCGGTAGTTTCGCCGGATGAACAGCATCCCCCAGATAGCTAAGCCATGTAGCCTATTCGTGTAACGAAAGACTATGGGAAAGACTTTGGCTCCATGGCGATTGAACTGTATGTATGTGATCTGAGCGCCATTCGGTAGTAATGTGCGCTCAGATCTAAGCTATCTGGGGATATGTAGAATGTATATGTTTTAGGTAATAAATGTGGCTGTATATAATTTGATGTATTTTACTGTATTGTTACTGCCATGTGGTTAATGAAGTTTTGCCTCTGTCCTGGGAGATAATTGGATTACTTCTCAATAATCTCCAGGACAGAGAGGAGGGATTGCGATGTAATTGTGGGAGTGTTTAAAGGTTTATGTATGTAATTGGCTAAGAGCCAATATGTTTCCCAGTTTCCCATTTGGTCCCCTAGGGGAGTGTCCACCAGGTGGGAGACCTGCATAAAAGCCGGGCAGTTAGCCCCAGTAAACCAGATTCTGCTTGACCCTCAAAACGAAGTGTCGTCTCGTCTTTGGGGGGATTTACTGTATGCGGTTAGAGACTGATTGCCAGGAGTGTAAGCCGCTTGGGTGCTTTTCCTGTTCATCTGCTAACAGCTATTCGTGTGTCTCCAGTTCGGGAGTTTGGAGTGCTACTTGGTATGCAGTTCGGGAGTTTCGAGTATTCCCTTGGATACAGTTCGGGAGTTGGTGAATTCGTGGGTTTGCAGTTCGGGAGATTGGTGCTTGCAGTAGCTGTCTGTGTATCTGAAAAAGGGGAATATCGCCTAAACATTTTTTAACCTCTGGTGAGCAGAACGGTCCGTTACAGAGATGCAGTCCGAAAAGGCATCTGGTACCAGGCACTGGGTATTGCGGAGTACCAGCGGGGCGAGAGACTCCCCAAGGAAGACCAATGATTGCAGAAGCGTCTAGCCCTGCGGATGCCCTTCTTGGGAGAGCTGCCCCTGGTGGAATGGGTGAAGGAATTGGACATCCGGGTATGGCAAGAGATGTGGCTGGAAGATGCCTACCAGGCGCTCTGGTGGTATGGGGCAAAGTACCTTCCCTGGACAGCCGAGCATGACAAGCCAGAGGGAGAGGAGTTTGATGGTCCTGGCTTGTTATGGGAGACTTTTTCAGAGCCTGAGTTTGGGAGCCCTTCACAAGCCCGGTTCCATGATCTCATTGAGTGGAGGGAGAGCAGGTATGAATGGGACGACACTTACAAGATTGAGCAAGACCTGGTCCACATGGATACCCGGGAGATGGAGCTGGAACAGGGCTACCAGCAGCTGTTCCACTCCAGTGAGAAGGCTCAGCAGGAGAGCAGAGTGACAGACCCAGAGCCAGACCCATTCAGCTGGGACAAGATAGTAGAGTTTTACTGGGAAGAACCCCAGGTGGCCGGTGGAGATGGGACCAAGGTCTCTCCACAGGTTCTGCAGGGAATTGGGAGCCCAGTCTCCAAGCAGAATCTGGTTTACTGGGGCTAACTGCCCGGCTTTTATGCAGGTCTCCCACCTGGTGGACACTCCCCTAGGGGACCAAATGGGAAACTGGGAAACATATTGGCTCTTAGCCAATCACATACATACACCTTTAAACACTCCCACAATTACATCACAATCCCTCCTCTCTGTCCTGGAGATTATTGAGAAGTAATCCAATTATCTCCCAGGACAGAGGCAAAACCACCACATACCGTGACCCCCACAATGACCACCACATACCCTGACCCCACATAACCTGCCCCCCACATACCCTGCCACCCACAGTGACCACCACATACCCTGCCCCCCACACTGTCTCCCCCACACAGTTTCTCACACAAAATGCCCCCCACTGTCACACACCCTTCTCCCCACACACTCTGCCACCCACATGGTCACACACCTTGTCCTCCTACACTGTCATACACACTGCCCCCTCATGCTGTCACACACCCGGCCATCACTACACTGTGTACCACACACCTTGCCCTCCCACACTGTAACACACCCTGTCCCCCCACACTGTCATACACTGCCCCCCACACTGTCACCATCCTCCACACTGCTACCCCACACTGTCATCTTCCTCCTCACTGTCACCCACTCACACCCTGCCCCCAAAACTGTCACATTCCTCCACACTGCTCTCTCACCCTGTTACCGTTTCACACACTTGCACCCCATATTGTCAGCCCCCAACACTATGTCACCAATACATACAGTCACCCCTGCCCCTGCACACACTGTCACCCTTTCCAACACTGCCTCCCACACTCTCACCTACCCACCGTCACAATTCCACACACATACAGCCACCCCCCACACTGTCACCCCCCACATGCTGTCATGCCCCCTTCACCCAGCCTCGCTCACATTAACCTCTCCTAATCTTGTCTCTCTCACCCTCTCCATCCATACCACAATTACCGGCCCTCGTTCTTCTACACTCACCCTATCTCATTAATCCCCCTAATTCTATCACACTCATCTTCTCTCATACTGTTACACTCACCCCCAACCCTGTCATACTCATCCTTTTTCACATTAACCTTTTCACTTGGGCCCAACCATGCCACACTCACCCTATCACATAATCCTGTCCGACTCACTTTGCCTCGCCTTGTCACACTCCCTCCTCCAGCCGTGCAACACATAACCCATAACCCTGTCAAACTCATCCCCCCTTCACCCTATCACATTAACTTCTATCCTGTCACTCATCCTGCCACGCCACACTCACCCTGTCACTCTCACCTCCCCTCGCCCTGTCACACTTTCTCCTTCACCCCAACAGTGAATACAGAGACTAGCTCTCTGTATCCAGCGCTGCAAGCCTGTCATACATTATAACAACAGCTCATTATACACACGATGCAACCCCTATATGTTTATATACTATGAGTGCTAGTGGGGGGCCTCTTGTTTGAGTTTCGCCTAAGGCCTCATAAAGTCTAGAGCCGACTCTGTTCAGGACTACCTGCCCAGTATTTAGGTCTCCCAGCTGGTGGACACTCCCCTAGGGGACCAGATGGGAGACTGTGACACAGGACAGACATGAACCAATGACAGAAACACAGAGGTTAAACATTCCCATAATGCATTCTTATTCCCTCCCCTATATCCTGGAGATAATGGAGAAGTAATCCAATTATCTCCCAGGACAGAGGCAAAACGCCATTATACACGTGGGGACACTAAAACAATAAAATACAATAAAATATACAAAGTTACAATTATTGCATAAAATACATACATGTAACCTATTCCCAGATAGCTGGGATCTGAGCGCACAATTGTACCGAATAGCGTTCAGATCCTATACACACAGTTCAATTGCCATGGAGCCAAAGTCTTTTATTATACGAATAGGCTGTGCTATCTGGGTTAAAGCATTCACATAAAACAAAGTCTCGAATGATCAGGTGTTTGGTTAAATAGCCACGAATAGAAGCAGGGAAGGCTGGAGGTTCAGCGGTGCCTGCATGTAAAAGTGTCCGCTGTGTGTGGCGGCTATGTGTAACCGCGACAACCAGTTAACCGCAGCTACTGGGTGGTCAATTGACGGCACACGCTAGCTTCAGGGAGGTGAATTGAAGGCACCCGCCAGCTTCCTGGTGGTCGCGCCTTCGGTATTTTGTTCGGTAGATAAAATCTGTTTAACCCCTTCACTGCCAAAAATAGTTTCATTTGAAAATAGTTTTAAAAAAAATTCTTCATGGGACACACAGCTAGCACGTAAACACAAAATAAAAGAGATTTGTCATGCATATAATGCTATTTCAGTATATCTACAGTTATAGGAAAATTCCAGTACCATAACCACTACCGCTTGCAGGCTAGGCATGAACTCTCTCTGCAGGGAAAATAAAGTTTTTTTGAAAGTCCGGGCCATAGTCTAAAGGGAGCAGGCGGGCAACCAGGCTCCTCCAATGCACAGTGGCGAGGTTGGTCTCGTCACACACTCTTTACCGGCTCCATCCCTGTATAGCGGTGATTGGCCTCACTCTTTACCAGCTCCATCCCTGTATAGCGGTGATTGGTCACACTCTTTACCGGCTCCATCCCTGTATAGCGGTGATTGGTCGCACTCTTTGCCGACTCCATCCCTGTATAGCGGTGATTGGCCTCACTCTTTACCAGCTCCATCCCTGTATAGCAGTGATTGGTCACACTCTTTACCGGCTCCATCCCTGTATAGCGGTGATTGGGCGCACTCTTTACCGGCTCCATCCCTGTATAGCGGTAATTGGTCGCACTCTTATCCGGCTCCATCCCTGTATAGCGGTGATTGGCCACACTCTTTACCAGCTCCATCCCTGTATAGCAGTGATTGGGCGCACTCTTTACCGGCTCCATCCTTTTATAGCGGTGATTGGTCGCACTCTTTACCGGCTCCATCCCTGTATAGCGGTGACTGGGCGCACTCTTTACCGGCTCCTTCCCTGTATAGCGTGATTGGTCGCACTCTTTCCCAGCTCCATCCCTGTATAGCGGTGATTGGAGGCACTCTTTACTGGCTCCATCCCTGTATAGCGGTGATTGGGCGCACTCTTTGCCGGCTCCATCCCTGTATAGCAGTGATTGGCCTCACTCTTTACCGGCTCCATCCCTGTATAGCAGTGATTGGCCTTACTCTTTACCGGCTCCATCCCTGTATAGCGGTGATTGGCCTCACTCTTTACCGGCTCCATCCCTGTATAGCGGTGATTGGACGCACTCTATACCGGCTCCATCCCTGTATAGCGGTGATTGGACGCACTCTATACTGGCTCCATCCCTGTATAGCGGTGATTGGCCTCACTCTTTACCAGCTCCATCCCTGTATAGCGGTGATTGGGCGAACTCTTTACCGGCTCCATCCCTGTATAGCGGTGATTGGCCTCACTCTTTACCAGCTCCATCCCTGTATAGCGGTGATTGGCCACACTCTTTACCAGCTCCATCCCTGTATAGCAGTGATTGGGCGCACTCTTTACCGGCTCCATCCTTTTATAGCGGTGATTGGTCGCACTCTTTACCGGCTCCATCCCTGTATAGCGGTGACTGGGCGCACTCTTTACCGGCTCCTTCCCTGTATAGCGGTGATTGGAGGCACTCTTTACTGGCTCCATCCCTGTATAGCGGTGATTGGGCGCACTCTTTGCCAACTCCATCCCTGTATAGCAGTGATTGGCCTCACTCTTTACCGGCTCCATCCCTGTATAGCGGTGATTGGCCGCACTCTTTACCAGCTCCATCCCTGTATAGCGGTGATTGGTCGCACTCTTTGCCAACTCCATCCCTGTATAGCAGTGATTGGCCTCACTCTTTACCGACTCCATCCCTGTATAGCGTTGATTGGTCACACTCTTTGCCGACTCCATCCCTGTATAGCAGTGATTGGACTCACTCTTTACCGGCTCCATCCCTGTATAGCGGTGATTGGCCGCACTCTTTGCCGACTCCATCCCTGTATAGCGTTGATTGGTCACACTCTTTGCCGACTCCATCCCTGTATAGCAGTGATTGGACTCACTCTTTACCGGCTCCATCCCTGTATAGCGGTGATTGGCCGCACTCTTTACCAGCTCCATCCCTGTATAGCGGTGATTGGTCGCACTCTTTGCCGACTCCATCCCTGTATAGCAGTGATTGGCCTCACTCTTTAACGGCTCCATCCCTGTATAGCGGTGATTGGTCGCACTCTTTACCAGCTCCATCCCTGTATAGCGGTGATTGGTCGCACTCTTTGCCGACTCCATCCCTGTATAGCAGTGATTTGCCTCACTCTTTACCGGCTCCATCCTGTATAGCGGTGATTTGCCTCACTCTTTACCGGCTCCATCCCTGTATAGCGGTGATTGGTTGCACTCTTTACCGGCTCCATCCCTGTGCAGCGGTGATCAATATTTCTGTAAAGAATGAACCAAAGAAATTAATAATTAAATTATGTAAATGCCCATATTAAAGGAACACTCCAACTACCATAACCACTATAGCACGCTGTGGTGATTATGGCATCCTTCATTGTCCATATTTTAAAGTTCGACTTTTTACCCGGTGTCCGTTGAACGCCTATCCACGCCTGCAGTAATAACGCTTGAGAGACGGCAGCTCCTAAGCTTCCATTAGCTCTCCTGAGCTGAGCCCTGAATTGCAAGCGGTAGTGGTTATGGTACTGGAATTTTCCTATAACTGTAGATATACTGAAATAGCATTATATGCATGACAAATCTCTTTTATTTTGTGTTTACGTACTAGCTGTGTGTCCCATGAAGAATTTTTTTAAAAACTATTTTCAAATGAAACTATTTTTGGCAGTGAAGGGGTTAAACAGAAATACACACTAAATGTTCAGTAGAATTCAATGTGAATCATTGTAGTTCCTAAGGATAACCAGAGGGTGGCACTGTGGGCATTAAAAACAAATCGCATTCTTCACCTTAAATGACTTCTGCAATTCATTCACTGTTGTTGGGGAGTCTTGTCTTACCAGGAGCTTTAACCCCTTGGCTGACAGAATCCGACATAAAGGGATTTATTTGATACATAGTGATTGGTATAGTGAATGTGTGGTATCTAGGCCGTAATAATGAAAATGGGAATAAATGGGAGAGTTAGCTATATTTTTTAATGTATTTACCCTGGCCTGTTTGCTATTTGTAACCCATTCACCCCATATCATGTCCCCCTCCGGCTCTCCCATATCATGTCCCCCTCCGGCTCTCCCATATCATGTCCCCCTCTGGCTCTCTCGCAGTGACAGGACGATGCGCTCCCACTCAACGCCACCCACGTGAAAGGCGATTTTGTAAGAGATATATGACCTCGATAATTAAAAAGAAAACTCTCTTCATTTAACGTCTTCCTGGGTTCAGCATCGTCGTCATAAATGAAAATATCGGACCCGAATAAAACACTATATCAGATTGTAAAACCACAAACTCCATCACCTCGTGGCTTTCACCATTTCACGTCTATGTAATACAGGGAGAGAGGATTCCATTGTCACTGGAGCCACTCACAATAAGATATTTACCATCTGTGCTCTGACGCCAATCTGGATGAAGGCTAACAATACTATCTATCTATCTATCTATCTATCTATCTATCTATCTGTCTGTCTGTCTGTCTATCTGCCTGTCTGTCTGCCTGTCTGTCTGTCTGTCTATCCATCTGTCTGTTTACCTGTCTGTCTGTCTATCTGTCTACCCTAGGATAGAAGTAATGGAAAGCTTTGAAAATTGAGAACAATAAGGGTTACAGTATAGCTCAGTATATCATGGGATGAGCTGATACATTTATCTGTATAAGTACATAGAAACAATGATTCAGGTAAAGGAGTGACCCAGGTGACGGGTTTCCTGATCTCATGGTAGGTAGATATCGAATAGATTAATATGCTGTTAATATGCGGAACGATCACTGAGTGATTAAAGTTTATTAGAAACCTTGAAATCTAGGTGATTCAAGCAGACATACCAATCACGTAGGTCCAAACAATCCAACTACAATCTCGTTACCAGGTTATGGGTCATGGTCATTGTCAATGTTATTCGATAAACACCAGATTTTAGCGAATTATATTTGAAATGGTAAAATCTAGGCTGAAATAGCGGAGCGCTGACAATCGATGAAGGATTTTTACAAACCTACCCGGCCATCAGCTTGGAATCGGGGCGCTGCTGAAATTGAAGATTTCTCTATTTAATGCCCCAGATAGGAATTACAGAGAAGACTCAGCCAAGCTGTCTCGTAATGGGAAACCACACCGGGCGGTCTATAAATATTAGGACAGGGGTCACTACTTCCTCAGTATTCTACGTTTGTGTCCAAGGCCATCCTGAATATGTAAATATGGAGTCTCACAGCTGGTTAATCTGAACAGAATTCCCGTATTTCGAGTGTTTCTTATCATCGTTGCTACACGGTGATTTTGGGTGTCAGTACATTCTATCCATCTATCTATCTGTTCGTCCGGCCGACTATCTATCTATTATTATTATTATTGGTATTTATATAGCGCCAGCATATTCCGTAGCGCTTTACAATATTATCAAAGGGGGAGGTTTAACTATAAATGAGACAATTACAAAAACTTACAGGAACAATAGGTTGAAGAGGACGCTGCTCGAACGAGCTTACAGTCTATAGGAGGTGGGGTATAAAACACGTGGCACTCCCAGGAGGTGGAAGTGAAGCAGAGCTAGAGGAGAGAGTAGAGTGCTACCCTTGAGGAGAGACCAAGAGACAGGTATGTAAGGTAGAGTTTAGTCTAGGAGGACATAAGCTTTCCTAAAGAGATGGGTTTTAATGCACTTCTTAAATGACTGAAGACTAGGGGAGAGTCTGATGGCAGTAGGCAGGCTATTCTATAGGAAGCGAGAAGTCCTGACGCGTGAGTGGGCCGTACGGGAGCGAGTATTGGATAGGAGAAGGTCATGGGCAGAACGGAGAGACCGAGAAGGGGCATTCCTATGGATCTGTGAAGAGCTATAATAGGGGCTAAAATTGGTCAATGCTTTATAGGTATGGGTTAGCACTTTGAATTGACTCCTATAGGATTCAGGAAGCCAGTGTAAGGACTGACAGAGGGGTGAGGTGTGAGAGGACCGACTAGAGAGGAAAAATTAGTCTGGCCGCGGCATTCATTGCAGACTGTAGTGGGGCAATACGGCTTTTGGGAAGACCAATTAGGAGAGGGTTACAATAAAAATTACTAGAGCACGGACAAGCTCCTTAGCAGCATCTTGTGTAAGAAAGGGGCGGGTGCGGGCTATGTTTTTAAGGTGGAATCTACAGGATTTGGCAACAGACTGGATGTGAGGTTCAAAGGTGAGGTCAGAATCAAGTATGACGCCAAGACAGCGTGCTTGCAAGGATGGACTGATGTGGGTACCACAAACTTTAAGGGAGAGCGAAAGAAGAGGATCAGTATTAGGAGGAGAAAAGACAAGGAGCTCAGTTTTAGAGAGATTGAGTTTCAGAAAGTGGGAAGACATCCAGTCAGAGATGGGAGAAAGGCAAGCAGTGACACGTTGCAGGACGGCAGGGGAGAGGTCCGAGGAGGAGAGATATATCTGTGTGTCATCAGCCTACAGGTGGTAGTGCAATCCAAAAAAGGCAATAAGTTTGCAAAAAGAGGCAGTATAAAGAGAAAATAGAAGGGGACCAAGGACAGAGCCTTGGGGGATTCCAACCGAGACAGGACGAGGGGAGGAGGTATAATTAGAAAAGGAGACACTGAATGAGCATTGGGAGAGATAGGAGGGGAACCACGAAAGGACAGTGTCACAAAGGCCGAGGGATTGAAGAGTTTGGAGGAGGAGGACATGATCAACGGTGTCAAAGGCAGCAGAGAGGTCAACAAGAATTAGTATTGAGTGCCCTTTGGATTTAGCTGCGATTAGGTCGTTAGTGACTTTAATAAGAGCAGTCTCAGTAGAGTGGAGAGGGTGGAAGCCAGATTGAAGAGGGTCAAGGAGAGAGTTGTAATTGAGACATTTGAGTAAAGACAAGTCTTTCCAGAAGCTTTGAGGAAAAAGGGAGCAGGGATATGGGACGATAGTTAGAGCGGGAGGACAGGTCAAGAGATATTTTTTCTAAGATTGGTACTACAGTGGCATGTTTAAGGGCTATCTATGTATCTATCTGTAACGGATCACCTGGCACCCCGACTGGATACCTCCGTTGAAGGATGCTCCTGGCGCTTACAGAGGGCTCCAAGCGCTCCGCAGACACCACAACCACCGCAGACCCCACGAACCGCCGCAGCTTGGTTGGGGTCTCGCCGTCTCCTACCCACCCTGGACCTACGACAAGGCTCCAGGTTCCAGTGGGTGAACCTCTCCTCCAAGAGAGTGAAGCAGGAACAAGCTCTTAAAAGAGCTTAGAAGTGATTATCCAAGGGAGCATTCAGAGCATAGCAATCCCTTGTAGTGATATAGCAATTCCCCCAATAAGAGACAGGACTCTAGATAGAGGGTGAAGAAGAACTGACTGTACTGGCACATACAGCCTCTTTTATTCACATTCTACAAACATAGTACTGCCCACAGGGTTTTGAAGAACAACCAATCAACACATTACAACACAGCTAACACTCCCATTCATTACATCAGAAATCCTCCCCTCTGCCTGTGATACAATTATCTCAACACAATAGACTTACTTAATTATCACAGGTAAGAAAATACAGTAATATAAAACATATCACAGGGACCCCAAAACATGCAATAACCCCATAAAAAATATAATATATCCTCGGAACCGGGGGATCTGGGTGAACCACATATCCAAAATTCACCCAGATCCGTTCAGTAGTTTGGAAAATACAGTTTAATGCAGATTCTGCAGAATATATACAGGCTAAATGAAAAACAATCACTGTATAATGTGTCCCCTGCTGTATAGTCCAAAACCACTGCATGATGTCTCTGTGCACCAAATACTGGCAAGATGGCACCGTGTTGAAAAGTCCAAACAGTGTCTGTGAGTTAAAATGGCGCCATCCATTGTTCTCACCATGTGCTTCTGATACAGGAAATGGTGGCCACCCAGTAACTCCACAGTATGTCCCCAGATGGTTCTTAAAGGGCCAGCAGCAGCACAACACAAATCCATTATGCACAAATCATGTCTTTAAAGGGCAATACATCCCAGGGCCATGGTCGCAGGGCATGAGACTGGCAAACAGGCCCCTCCAATGCCCAGTGGCGAGGTCGGTTTCGCCACACTATCTGTCTATCTATCCATCTGTCTGTCAATATAATTATTATGCTGTAGAATCTAGATTTCACTGCATTTTGCTCCCTGTAATGTTTGCTATTTCTTTGTAATGACTCGATTTCAGAATATTCTAGTGCCTTCGATCCTTACTTTGATTATTCTGGATATTCTGCTACCTTTAAACCATGCTTGTCTATTGTTATATTCTGCTCTCTGTGAATTTCCTCTTTGGAATTCTAGGTTCCAGTATATTCTGGACAGTATAATCCTTATTCATTGGTGATTCTAGATTCTGCATATTCTGATCCCTTCAATCGTGCCATTTCCAGGGTTTTTAGATAATTATCTATTCTGATCCCTGTAATCCATTGGTCTTTGACAATTTCAGAATCATCTGGTCATTGCAAACCTTGAAGAGATTCTGGATATTCCGTATATTCTGGGCCAGTAAACTTTCTTTGTCTCTTTACCCACGCTATCCCAGATTTGCAGAATCTGTCTCTGGACTCGCTCTATCCCAGATTTGCAGAATCTGTCTCTGGACTCGCTCTATCCTGGATTTGCAGAATCTGTCTCTGGACTCACTCCATCCCAGATTTGCAGAATCTGTCTGTGGACTCACTCTATCCTGGATTTGCAGAATCTGTCTGTGGACTCACTCTATCCTGGATTTGCAGAATCTGTCTGTGGACTCACTCTATCCTGGATTTGCAGAATCTGTCTGTGGACTCACTCTATCCCAGATTTGCAGAATCTGTCTCTGGACTCGCTCTATCCTGTATTTGCAGAATCTGTCTCTGGACTCGCTCTATCCCAGATTTGCAGAATCTGTCTGTGGACTCACTCTATCCCAGATTTGCAGAATCTGTCTCTGGACTCACTCTATCCCAGATTTGCAGAATCTGTCTGTGGACTCACTCTATCCTGGATTTGCAGAATCTGTCTCTGGACTCACTCTATCCCAGATTTGCAGAATCTGTCTGTGGACTCACTCTATCCTGGATTTGCAGAATCTGTCTCTGGAGTCGCTCTATCCCGGATTTGCAGAATCTGTCTGGGGACTCACTCTATCCTGGATTTGCAGAATCTGTCTGTGGACTCACTCTATCCTGGATTTGCAGAATCTGTCTGTGGACTCACTCTATCCTGGATTTGCAGAATCTGCCTCTGGACTCACTCTATCCTGGATTTGCAGAATCTGTCTGTGGACTCACTCTATCCTGGATTTGCAGAATCTGTCTCTGGAGTCGCTCTATCCTGGATTTGCAGAATCTGTCTCTGGACTCGCTCTATCCCAGATTTGCAGAATCTGTCTGTGGACTCACTCTATCCCAGATTTGCAGAATCTGTCTGTGGACTCACTCTATCCTGGATTTGCAGAATCTGTCTGTGGACTCACTCTATCCTGGATTTGCAGAATCTGTCTCTGGACTCGCTCTATCCCGGATTTGCAGAATCTGTCTCTGGACTCGCTCTATCCTGGATTTGCAGAATCTGTCTGTGGACTCGCTCTATCCTGGATTTGCAGAATCTGTCTGTGGACTTACTCTATCCCAGATTTGCAGAATCTGTCTGTGGACTCACTCTATCCCAGATTTGCAGAATCTGTCTCTGGACTCACTCTATCCTGGATTTGCAGAATCTGTCTGGGGACTCACTCTATCCTGGATTTGCAGAATCTGTCTCTGGACTCACTCTATCCTGGATTTGCAGAATCTGTCTGTGGACTCACTCTATCCTGGATTTGCAGAATCTGTCTCTGGAGTCGCTCTATCCTGGATTTGCAGAATCTGTCTCTGGACTCGCTCTATCCTGGATTTGCAGAATCTGTCTGTGGACTCACTCTATCCCAGATTTGCAGAATCTGTCTGTGGACTCACTCTATCCTGGATTTGCAGAATCTGTCTGTGGACTCACTCTATCCTGGATTTGCAGAATCTGTCTCTGGACTCGCTCTATCCCAGATTTGCAGAATCTGTCTCTGGACTCGCTCTATCCTGGATTTGCAGAATCTGTCTGTGGACTTACTCTATCCCAGATTTGCAGAATCTGTCTGTGGACTCACTCTATCCCAGATTTGCAGAATCTGTCTCTGGACTCACTCTATCCTGGATTTGCAGAATCTGTCTGGGGACTCACTCTATCCTGGATTTGCAGAATCTGTCTCTGGACTCACTCTATCCTGGATTTGCAGAATCTGTCTGTGAACTCACTCTATCCTGGATTTGCAGAATCTGTCTCTGGAGTCGCTCTATCCTGGATTTGCAGAATCTGTCTCTGGACTCGCTCTATCCTGGATTTGCAGAATCTGTCTGTGGACTCACTCTATCCCTGATTTGCAGAATCTGTCTGTGGACTCCCTCTATCCTGGATTTGCAGAATCTGTCTGTGGACTCGCTCTATCCTGGATTTGCAGAATCTGTCTCTGGACTCGCTCTATCCCAGATTTGCAGAATCTGTCTCTGGACTCGCTCTATCCTGGATTTGCAGAATCTGTCTGTGGACTTACTCTATCCCAGATTTGCAGAATCTGTCTGTGGACTCACTCTATCCCAGATTTGCAGAATCTGTCTGTGGATTTACTCTATCCCAGATTTGCAGAATCTGTCTGTGGACTCACTCTATCCCAGATTTGCAGAATCTGTCTCTGGACTTACTCTATCCCAGATTTGCAGAATCTGTCTGTGGACTCACTCTATCCCAGATTTGCAGAATCTGTCTCTGGACTCGCTCTATCCTGGATTTGCAGAATCTGTCTGTGGATTTACTCTATCCCAGATTTGCATAATCTGTCTCTGGACTCACTCTATCCCAGATTTGCAGAATCTGTCTGTGGACTCACTCTATCCTGGATTTGCAGAATCTGTCTGTGGACTCACTCTATCCTGGATTTGCAGAATCTGTCTCTGGACTCACTCTATCCTGGATTTGCAGAATCTGTCTCTGGACCCACTCTATTCTTAATGTGAAGACACATCCAACTGTCTCCTTTTGAAGCTTTGTCAGTAAGAGAAAGTTAATCGATAGAGACTAAAGTCCTGGCATGAGTTGTGACAAGGTTAAAGCTGATTAATTACAATGTGTATAAATTAGCAATTTTATGGACTGTAACCAGATGTGCGTTCATAATGGTCTGACACGTTCAACACCCCTAATGTTAACTCCAAAACACCTGTCAGTCACAATTAGGAAGCAATGTTATGGGGACATTTTAAGTCTCTGGAGCAAATACGCCATATAGAATTTTATCCTGAAAATCTCTAAAGAGGAAAAAAGGATCCGGTACTGTCCCATACGGAATATAAAAAGGATCCGGTACTGTCCCATACGGAGTATAAAAAGGATCCGGTACGCTCCCATACTGAGTATAAAAAGGATCCGGTAACAATTGTTAGTGTTTGTTGTGATCTACAACCACCTCTGTTGGCTGGTTGACAAGGCGCTTTCCACCCCCCGCGAGGTCGGTGTCTTCTGTATAGGGGGGGTCATCCCCCGCTCCGCTCTCCGGGCCGGGGGATTTCTACCCCCCTGACGCCGGTGCCTCTGCTCCATAACAGGGGCAATCCCCCCCGTTCCCCGCCGCACGGGGATACCCACTAACCAGCTCCGCCCTGCCTGCCCCGGACCAGGCTCTCCCTACCTGGGCCCTCACCCGCCCCCACGGACTGGGATGACTCAGACACTGGGGGGACTTGACAATATGGCTACACCTGCGTCCAAATGCGCACCAGCCCCACTAAAGTTTCTATCCCTAAACGCAAAGGGCTTAAACTCCCCCGAAAAAAGGTCACACGCACTCCGCCTCTGCCAGAAAACTAGAGCCCATGTGGTCTATCTCCAAGAAACCCACTTTAAAACCGACTCTGCTCCGAAACTCGGTAACCACATATACACCCAAGGCTTCTACAGCAATAACCCGGACGGGAAATCTAAGGGGACAGCAATACTCCTACACAAATCCATACCCTTCGTAGCTGACTCGACCATGACGGATAATTTGGGCAGATATGTATTTGTTAGGGGTAAAATCCTGGACGAAACCTATACCTTTGCCAACATCTATGCCCCAAACACGCGACAGGACAAATTTCTTCGGGACACACTCCGGGCCCTGCACGACTTCACGACAGGCTGTCTGGTCCTGGGAGGGGACTTTAATGTCGCCCTACACCCAACGATGGACGCCTCCAGGGGCCACTCATCGACAACCCCCCCCCTACACTGCTCAAAATTCGTAAACTGCTCCACCAGTACAGGCTTACGGATTGCTGTAGGGCGACGCACCCGACGGCTAGGGACTACACCTTCTACTCGACCCCGAATGACTGTTACACACGCATTGACTACTTCTTCCATATTACTACCTACCCAGACTGCGTGACTCAGCCATAGGGGGAACAATGTGGTCCGACCACGCACCACTCACGATTCAACTCACATCGCCACTATGCAAACCCAAAACTACGTCATGGAGGCTTCACGAAAGCCTTCTCTCCAACCCGCAGGTGACCCGAGACGTACAACAAGCCCTGACGAATTACTTCGCCGAGAACCCACCACAGGACACATCCCCCCTCTTGACATGGGAGGCCCACAAGTGTGTGATTAGAGGGATCCTTATCTCACACTCCTCTGCCCTGAAAAGGGCACGAGAACATACGATCCGAGAACTAACTGCCAAGATAGGGACCCTGACACAGGCCCACAAACGAACACTAGACGACGCACTTCTCGGGGAACTCACAGCAGCCTGGGAAGAACTAGCACGGGTCCTGCAGCAATCGTACACTAGGGCCCTCCAGCGCACTAAATCCTTTTTCTACTCAGAAGGAGACAGGTGCGGCAGGATGCTGGCCAGAATGATCAATAAAAAACGCTCCATGACATACATCGCACGCATGCGCGACGCCGCAGGCCAACTACACCACATTCCAGACCAAATCGCAGCAGCCATAACTCGCTTCTACACAGACCTTTACGCGATACCCTCCCACGCCCCTCGAGCAGACCCGAGCCTAGGAGCGACCCGCATAAACACATACCTCACTAAATACACCAAAACCAAACTCTCCCCAGACGCAGCGGAGGCCCTGGAGGCACCCCTGATGGAGGGGGAACTGGCCCTGGCCATCAAAGCCTCAAAGACAGGCAAAAGCCCGGGCCCAGATGGCCTCCCCCTCAAATACTATAAAACCTTCCTGACCACACTGTCCCCCCGATATGTCTCGGCCTTCAACTCCATAACAGAGGGACATACCATCGCCCAGCAAACACTGGCGGCCAACATTGTCCTGCTGCCGAAGGAGGGGGGAGATACCGAACGGTGTACGGGATATCGACCTATATCGCTACTTAACTGCGACCTACGCCTGTTTGCTAAAATACTAGCTACAAGGTTAAACCCACACATACCAGACCTAATCTCTCCTGACCAAGTGGGCTTCGTCCCCCACAGGGAAGCCAGAGATAATACGGTCCGGGCCCTCTCCCTGATCCACCACGCGCAGCGCACCTCGGAGAGCCTTCTCCTCCTCTCCAC